CCATTTGCCCCCCCCCCCCCCATGTAAGCCGGCCCTGATAGTTGATGACATGTATGATAGAGTTGAGGTAAAACAAAGATCACAAACTAGTTATGTTTCGAAAGATGCTTACTCTATCGAAGTCCGTTGTCAAGTACCCTCGCTGCAGCCTCCTGCGACACTCAACTTTTGCTGATGCTGAGCCTGAGGTACTCTTTGATAGAGTTCATGAGCATATTTTGTCCTAGAATAGTGATATGATGATCATTGTTTTGTCAAGGGTTGATATTTGAGTGAAATCCTTTTAGGACAGGATGATGCATATCAAGTTCTCCTATTAGCTACCATATGGATCTTGATTCTCTTGTTTGGTCATCATGCATTTTGTCCACAATTAATGGCCTCGGCTTGGTCTACGGAGGAGATCCCTTTGACTCGGGGCTTGTCTATAGCAGTAGCCAGTTTTCGTCGTCTTCTGTGCCTCTTCTGTTGAAGTTGAACGGCATCGTCCTCACAGTGCTAGGACCTGCTTTTGGATATCCAATAGCATCCTCTGCAGGTACGAAGTTTCTGTCTACTCTTGTCTGCTACTAACTATATCATATACTGAGATATAGAATACTGTTTTGTAGTTGGAGTACTTAAAGGGTTATGGAGAAATGACTTGCCGGGTCTAAAAGGAGACTGTCCTAATTGTGGTGAAGAGGTACATATCTTTTGCAGCAACATAAACTTATAAAAATCCTCTGGTTTTGAGTTGTGATGAGTCTTTTGTGTAGGTTTTTGCGTTTGCGAGAGGTCGGATCAATCAAACTGGTCAGCTCACAAAGCCGACTGTCATGTCTGTGAATGCACCTTGGAATTTCGTAAAAAAAAAGAATTATATCCCATTATCGTAGATAGTCCCTCCCTCGTAGCTTTGTAACAACAAATGGTGGCTTGGTTTTGTGTTAATGCTTCAGAAGTCTGCGTCAGGGTTGGGTGGAAAATGGGTATACGGCAGGATATACCTTGTTTCACGGCCAAGAAGAGATCGGCGTTCCAAGTTTACATAGTTACTTCTGACCAAAAGAAGAACATAAGTTTTGGGGACGCTTCTCAATTTTGTTACGAAGGATACTAGCAACTTGAAAGCTTGAGTAACATTCAAGAGATTCATAAAATTTGTAACTAAAGAAACGTTTTGTCTCTTTGTAACCTATTACTTCAAACAGTACACAAAAAAAAAAAATAGATTCAAAAAAATAGATTCATTCCCGGCTTACGAAGTAACAGAGAAACTAACTTTTTGCTGCTAAGCAAAAAGAATGTTTGCTCGACCTTTTCAAAAGTGTGCCATGCTATAGACCAGAATGCATGGGAACTGCAGACAACTGTTAAGGATTTATCCTTTGATCCTGGCTCAATTCAATTATCATCTCAAGCCTAAACGAATCTAAACAATCACGGTATCAAGCAAGAAAGAAATAAAGAACACACATGTTTACTCGGTGTTCACCGCACTTCTCCAACGTGGAGAAGCCGCTATTCACCGGGGAGAGAACCAGACTCTCAATCCACTATAATCAATGTGATTATCACCGGAGGTTTCACTCCTCTTCTTCCTCTCTCAATTACACCTAATCCGAGTTACAAGATTTGAGGAAGAAGAACAAGACTATGAGACTAGATACACCAAGAATCAAAATCTCTCTAGCTCACTCTCACCAGCCCAATTTCTCTCTCATGTCATCTCTCGAGCTCTCTAATTCTATCTCTGTAACGATTGTCCGACCTAGATGAGCATGACGATGACTTCATTCCCAGCTCAACATAATGACCCTTTTGGCCTTACTTGTATTCAGCCAAAGAGTCCACCTCACGTGACTTCCACATGATCAACTTTAGGCTTGAGTAAACCTTCTCTTTGAATAAGAGTCTTCATGATACTTTCTCTATGGACAGATCAGATGACACACTTCTTCACAACAACACACGAAATAGGTCATGTTAAACCTTAAATACCACTACTGAAGCAAAGAAAAACAAAGTTACCAAGAAGAGAGTACGTGATGCAAAGAGACCCTCTTGGGTAAAGCTGCATGGCCTCCGAAATCTTCTTCATCAATCTTCAGAATCATTGCGTAGTAACCGTAATCTATCGCCAAAAACCTGAAAATTTCACATCATTATGCCGATGAATTCAGTCATACGTTATGTAGAGCTCTTTTATCAACAAGAGAGAAGTGGTTTTAGATTTTTCGGGTGGGTTCTGGTAAAATGTCCAGGTCTAGTTACTGGTTTAAAACAATGAACTTTTTTGTGTGTGTTCTTCTATTAGAAAATAACTGCCTCTGCATTTTGGTTTAAAGGCCATTGAAATTAATTGATTTTCTGCAAAAAGCTTTGTGAGAGGAGCTCAACTTGGAAAAAAACAGAACAGAGAGAAAACAACGTTTGAGTGCACAAACAAAAAAAAAACGAAAACAACGTTTGTGATTTGATGCAACAAAATGCTTGATGTGCAAGCCATTGTCTTTTTTTATTAGATTCTAATTATTCGGTAATTGTATTACAATATACTCATGTTTTTTCTTGCTCAAAATGCTAATAGATTTTGACAACCTAGTTCTCATATGATCATGTAGAATAGACGTAAGTGGATGGATTGTTTGTTATCTCCTTAGTCCTTACACATAGGATTGAAATATACTTTCAATAAGATTGAAATATACTTTCAATAAGTCTCTTTATCATGTATATTTCAATCTTATTGAAACTATATTTCAATCCTATGTGTAAGGACTAAGGAGATAACAAACAATCCATCAACTTACATCTATTCTACATGATCATATGAGAATTAGGTTGTCAAAAACTATTAGCATTTTGAGCAAGAAAAAACATCAGTATATTGTAATACAGTTACCGAGTGGAACCGTGACACTGAGGTCAGATGCTGCTTGGTCTGCTGAAAGGAACTCTGCAGGGTTGGGTTGGATTTTCATAACCCCACCACATATCAACTCCTTCCAAAAGTATATGGAATTTGTGGGATCGCCATTGGCGGAGGCTATTTTGCGGTGAGAGAAGCTCTTCTCACTTGTCAGAGATTGGAGCTGAGGTCCCTGGGTCTGGAGTCGGATTCTGCGCAGCTAATAAAATGCTTAAACTCGAGCTTGGAAATTGCAGAGTTGCATAGTGTTGTGTCGGATATTTTAGCTTTTGCTGCTATGTTTGATTTTATTTCCTTTAGATGGATCCCTAGAGAGGAAAAAAAGGAGGCTGATGCTTTGGCTAAAGAAGCCTTGTTTGTTGTGTTTGAACCTGTGGTAGTTGTGGATGCTGTTAATGCTCCTAACTAACATTCTCCTAATTAATGAATATGTGTTCAAAAAAAAAAAAAGAGACTTTTCCTCTAAGTACTACTTACCACTTTTCATGGGTATTAATTGCTCTTATTACTTTCAGAAATTTCATAATCGTTTGTCAATTTAGTCCTGGCTTAGTTAAATTTTGGAAAAGTCTTCTGTATTTCAATGGATCACCGTGAAATTTAAGAGGGGGGACAATGTAACATGAGCAGCTTTAAAGGCGAGAGTGAAAGATAATAGCTCAATAGCCTTTGGAAGAGACATTTTGCTCATCTTTTTGTACTCATTTCCTGCAAAATATGAGAATCATGAAACTCTTTCTTTTCCTTTCTTTCAGTGCTCTCATGTTACTTGAAACATCTGGGAATAGTCATGAAACTGATAAGCAAGCTTTACTGAAGTTCAAGTCTCAAGTCTCTGAGGAGAAAAAAGTTTTGCTGTCTCCATGGAACAACTCCTTCCCTCTCTGCAGATGGACGGGGGTTACATGCGGCCGCAAACACAAGAGAGTTACTGATTTGGACCTCGGAGGATTCAAATTGGGTGGAGTGATATCGCCATTTATTGGTAATCTTTCATTTCTAATATCACTTAACCTCAGTGATAACTCTTTTAGTGGAACCATCCCTCAAGAGCTGGGAAACCTATTTAGACTTCATCACTTGAATATGAGCTTCAATTTTCTCGAAGGAGGGATTCCAGCCAGACTGGTCAACTGTTCTAAATTGTTAGGCCTTGATTTATTTTCTAATCATCTTGGACAAGGTATTCCTTCAGAACTAGGATCATTGATTAAACTTGGTCTTTTAGACCTTGGTAAAAACAATTTGAAAGGAAAACTCCCTCTATCTCTTGCAAACTTGACGTCCCTCAGAAAATTTTATTTTTATGAAAACAATCTGGAAGGAGAAATTCCTGATGTTATAGCTAGATTGACTCAAATGGTGGAGTTTGAGCTAGCAATAAACCATTTCTCTGGTGTTTTTCCTTCTGCAATTTACAATTTGTCCTCACTAGAGATTTTGGACATGTATGGTAATGGTTTCTCTGGGAACCTGAGGCCTGATTTTGGTAATTTGCTACCAAATCTTCAAGAATTGTTTATTGGAAATAATTCTTTCACAGGAGCCATTCCATTAACACTTGCAAATATCTCAACTCTTCATTATTTGAGCATGGAGCTTAACAGTCTGACCGGTAGTATTCCTCCGAGCTTTGCAAAACTACGACATTTGCAAAAGCTACACCTTTCTCACAATTATTTGGGAAGTTTTTCAGCTGGAGATCTTGAATTTCTTGTTGCTTTGACTAACTGCACCAAACTGCAATCTTTAGATGTTTCATACAATAGGCTTGGGGGTGACTTACCTGCCTCCATTTCTAATATGTCAGTGAAACTCAATGATTTTGCTCTTCAAAAGAATTTCATATCTGGAAGCATTCCACAAGACATTGGGAATCTAATAGGCCTGCAAGCAATTTGGTTTCCCCAAAATCTATTGAAAGGGCCAATCCCAGCCTCTTTTGGGAAACTTTCAGGATTGGTGGAATTAAGTGTCTATTCAAATAGAATATCAGGAGAGATACCATATTTTTTAGGCAACATCACTCGGTTAGAAATACTCTATTTGTTTAACAATAGCTTTGAAGGAATCATTCCTCCAAGTCTTGGTAAATGTAGATATTTGCAAGATTTACGTATCCAGAATAATAAGTTGAGTGGTCTTATACCTCATGAGATTCTGCAGATTTCAACCCTTGTTTCTATAAGCATGTCAAATAATTCATTGACGGGCTCTCTACCAGAAGATGTTGGACGACTTGAAAAACTTAGTAGGTTATATGTTGCTCATAATAAGCTATCAGGGGAACTCCCAAAGACTTTGGGAAAGTGTCTCTCACTCGAAGAACTTTTTCTGCAAGGAAATTCTTTTGATGGAATCATTCCAGATATAAGTGGGTTGGTGGGTATTAAGACAGTTGATTTCTCAAGCAACAATCTCTCTGGAAGAATTCCTGAATATCTCGCAAACTTTAGCTTTTTGGAGTATCTCAATCTCTCCTTCAACAACTTGGAGGGAAATGTTCCAACAGAAGGGAAGTTCAAAAATGCTACTATTGTCTCTGTATTTGGAAACCAAAACCTTTGTGGAGGCATCTTGGAACTGCGACTGAAGCCATGTTCTTTGCAACCAGCAGGAAATTCAAGAAAGAAACTTGTGATTGGGGTAAGCATTGGCATATCTTTGCTTTTGCTTTTCTTCATAGCTTCAGTTTCTCTTTGTTGGTTAAAAATCAGAAAGAAGAAAAATACCAATGAAGCAAATCCTTCTACCTTGGGGGCTTTTCATGAAATGATAAGTTATGGAGATATTCGAAATGCAACAGATGGATTCTCTTTGAGTAATTTGATCGGGTCAGGCAGCTTTGGTACTGTGTTTAAAGCCGTTCTCCCTGCAGAGAACAAGGTTGTTGCTGTCAAAGTTCTAAACATGCAGAGACGTGGAGCAATGAGGAGCTTTATGGCAGAATGTGAATCTCTGAAAGACATTAGACATCGTAATCTTGTGAAACTGTTGACAGCTTGTTCGAGTATTGATTTCCAAGGAAATGAATTCAGAGCTCTAATCTATGAGTACATGCCGAATGGAAGCTTGGATATGTGGCTGCACCCAAAGGAAACAGAAGAGATTTCTAGTCCCTCAAGAACGTTGACACTTTTGGAAAGGCTTAACATAGCGATAGACGTGGCTTCTGTTTTGGAGTATCTTCATCTTAATTGCCATGAAGCTATTGCTCATTGCGATCTTAAACCGAGCAACGTTTTTCTAGACGATGATCTAACCGCCCATGTTAGTGACTTTGGTCTTGCTCGGATCCTTCTCAAATTCGACCAGGAAAACTTCATCAACCAACTTAGCTCGGCTGGAGTCAGAGGAAGCATCGGCTATGCAGCACCAGGTAATGCTATCACACATTCAATGTTTTAATGAAGAAAGCTAATACGCTTTTCATTTCCGAGAGTAAAATTTTATATACTTTCTTTGTTCCACAAAGATAAATTTTATTCTTCTTTAGAACGTTGATAGTTTTTCTAAACTGTATACTAAAAGTAAATAACAAAATTCATTATAATCTTAGTATACGTAAATACTCTAAAAAAATCTTTTTTGGAAAAGCAGAGAGTATATTGCTTGCTCCAATATCTGTTTATAATGACTTATGGTGCAGAATATGCAATGGGAGGAGAAATATCAGTACATGGTGATGCATATAGCTTTGGGATTCTCATTCTCGAAATGTTCAGTGGAAAACGACCAACCGATGAGATGTTTGGAGGAGACTTAACCCTCCGTAGCTGCATCAAGTCTGCATTGCCAGAGCATGTTTTGGATGTTGCAGACGAAATGGTTCTTCATAACGGCCTTAGAATTGGCTTCCCTGCTGCTGAGTGCTTGACGAAGGTTTTAGAAGTGGCACTTGGGTGTTCTGAAGAGTCTCCAGCAAACCGGTTGGGAATGAGTGAAGTTGTAAAAGAATTAGTCTCAATCAAGGAGAAGTTCTTCAAAACCAGAAGAGGAGCTAGACGTTGAAGTGTCTGTCTTGTATGCTTGCTCCTCTACAAACTTGATGAAGACTTGCAGATGTATAATATTTCTTCATAATATGCTTTGAATGTTGTGAAACATAATGCTATGTTATTAGCAGACAAAAATGTTGTGTGAGCAGTTTGATATTTGTAATTTGGAATTTTTATCGGAAAACATTACTGCTTTTGCAATTTGATATGTAGTACATGTTTCAGAGCTTTAGCAACCACTTATCTATCTAACAAGTCGCAGTTAGATGCATGTCCCAACATTGATTCACGAAAAAGGTATAACGATGTATATAACAAACATATGATGAAGGGGTGCTATAGAAATCGTGAGGAAACGTTACATATAGTAATCATGGATTCAAAACCTTGGTGGAAAAAATAAAATTTGTTTCCTCTTACATCTGAGCTAACACAAGTGTAAAACAACCAAAATAGAAAGTTCAAAACTTTTGGCTATAACTTATCAAATGGATACAGACAAGCGGAAGGAATGATCTTCTATCACATATGAACCGATGTGCAAAAAGGTAGCTGCAGTAAGCTAACTTGAACCCTTGTTGGTTTGAGGTTGTTTTGGTGGCTTCATAACGCTCCAGGCCTCCTTCCTGCTCTTAGGTTTCTTGAAACCATCGCCGCCTTTCTTTTTGCTCGATGATGGTTTATCACTGCTCCTCGGGGATTTGCTAGGATGGTTTTGTTCCTCAGACTTTTTTCTTTTCAACTCACCATTTGTCTCCCTGCTTGGCTCAACCCTCGGCTCACTGAAAGAACAATGTATTTCTAATTAGTCTGTTCATAGTTTGTTTAGAATTAGAACCAAAAGGAATGTAGAAGCGAAGGATAAACACCTAAAAGACATTCTTCCTCCGTTACTGCTAGAGCTTGTGGAAGAAGCATCTGTTTCTCGACCACTTATCGCCTCTTCATTCAGTTTCTAAGGAAATAAGAGTTTAATATTACATAAAGCTAAAAAGGAGAAGAACATCAACCGTAAAACTATCTGAGGCCTTAGCGTCCACAGAAACAAACCTCGATAGAAGGGTTGAAAGACTGAAACGACATGCGTCCTAACAATGCTACTGGCTGAGGATCCCAGTCTGTCATCACCACACTGCATCAATGATCAAATTACTTATTTAAAATACATGATAATCAGATACTGACAAATAACAAAACTCTGTCATGATTCATGAACACAAGGAAGTAATCAATCAAAAGTCCAAAACAACAAAAACCAAAAGGGTAGACAACACATACACAACTAGAACAATAATAAAACGTAAACAAAAGAAGAAAGAAGCAGTACCACTTCTTTGCAACACCTCCGAGAGAAGAAAAACTCTCATTGGGCTCTTCATCAATCTTCTTCTTCTCCTCTTTCAAAGCAGACCTTTGCATAAACTAGAAACATAAGAGCACAAAACTATATTACAAGTTCATGAACCAACTTTAGTGTATCTCATCCACAAACTATAAGAGCTACATAATTGATAACGCAGTCTCTAGAACGAAAGTTCGCAACTTTGGTCCCAGTTCAACTCTATTAACTTGTGCTAAGCTCTAAAGGTTAGTTTTCTTATAAAAAAAAAATACTCGATTATTTTACTCCAATTTCGCGAAGACGCAAACATGAGTCATTGAGTCCATATCGATGGATCAAGCTACAATGTAAAGATAAAAAAAAATACCTTTAGATTCCTCAAAGTGCTACTAATCTCTCTCTTCGCCATTGTATCTTCTTCTCAGATTAACCCAACACGAGATTTCCAGGTACGGGAGAAGGATGAACAAAATCGAGTGTTAATCGTTTTTATTAGGTTTAGTTTCCCTTCCGACAACGACAACAACAACAAGAAACTCTCGTCTAAATTGACTACAGTTTAGGTTTAACTGGTAAAAGCTAACCGATCCAAACCGTACCAAGTTTTTTAAAAAAAGATTTTCATTACCAAACCGAAATTGTATTGGTTTATTTTTGGTGTATTTGAAACTAAACCGGAAGCTCTGCAAGACTCTTTATGCTTCAAAGTATCTGATACTGCTGTCTGTACAAGAGAATGCTCCGTTTAGTATGGTTATTATGAGAATCATGCACTAAGCCATTGTAAAGGAGATTAAAAGATGTTTGTTTCTATTTTTTTTTATATTATCAATAAATAAAAACTCAACTTGTTTCATTACATTCACTGTTTCTCTCAATAAAAGCTTTAGATTACACTTATTAGATTCTCCTTAAAGAGTAAGTAGTGATGAAGTAGTCTTGGTAATATTTTTGTGTTACAATCAGCAGCTGAGAAATGTGAGTGAAATGTTTTTTTTTTTTTTTTTTAAGCTATGGTTTCAATGGCAACCTTTTGCCTGGCTCTAATCTCCTCGGCTTTGTCGTCAACAGCATCCCATAGTTCAGGAAGAGCTTCACGTATGTTGTGGATATGCTCCAACGCAATATCCACTCCTTCAGCTTTGTGTGAGGTCCCAACCTAACAATACAGAAAGATAACAGAAACAAGAGGTCAGCTTTGAGATTGATAAGTTATGTTTTTACAACTTATAATAAGTCTCTGCTTCATATACTTACCAATACGGTGTGGAGACCCACACGTTTCCCGGTTTGAATGTTACGGATACTATCATCAAAGAACAACTGAAAACACCACCAAGGAGATTTGGAACTTAGTGATTAGGTAAAAGAACGCAAGAGAGGTAGCGATTTGATTGTGTTCTTACAGTCTTGTGAGGATTGATGTTGGTCATCTTGAAAACCTGTTCAAATGCTCCTTCAGATGGTTTGCAAATGACCGGAGTCTTTGGGAGTTCAACGTTTGGATCAGGATTTGCCATGTAACTGCTTATGTCAAATATCTCTCTGGTCTCAGTAGTAGCAACAGGAGATTCAGCTTTGGTGTTTGGGTTCAGAGTCTCGAAAGATATGATTCTTTCAAAGCAGTCCTCTAGGCCTAGCCTAGCAATGATCTTGGCTGCATGAGCCTTGTCTGCATTCGTGAAAACCTGTGGGCAAAATGAAAGATGAGAGATTATATAGGTGAATGGAGACAAAATGTAAGAGGTTAGTAAAAAAACACATACAACTTTGCGAATAGGCAAGCTGAGAATAATGTTCCTCAAGATTGGGTCAGGCTTGAGTGTTGTGTATGGCAATCTCCCATGAACAAAACTGTGAAACAAAAGAAGGAATCTTGAGTTCCAAAGAAGAAGTGATGAGCAAATATAAAAGGGGGAGGTTAAGTTAAGTACCGATGGAAATCGTCATAGTCAAAGTCATAACCCACAGCCTGAAAGAATCAAAAACATTATAAACAAAGGGCATGCAGTACACAGCTAGATACACAACACAAGTTAAGGTTATTGTAATAAAGAAATTACCTTAAGACCAGCCATAGTGGTTCCATAGATCTTGTAAAGAGAAAGGCAGAGTTCCTGGACTTTATCTTTTTCAATACCGAGTTTCTGAGTCATATACTCTACAATGGCAACAACAATGACAAAGACAGGTTCAGTTATAACCTATGAACAACAAATCTTCAAGACAAGAAGAAGAGGCCAAAAAAGAAATGAACTTTATACCTTGAATGTTGTTTTTAACTAGAGTAGCCAGACCAGAACTGAAAGGGTAAAGAGTATCATCTATGTCTGTTTCATCAAAGCCATACAAATTATTATAATCAGTTAAAAGGTTTAAACTTTAAACCATAATATCTCAAATCATCAATTCAAATGTTTAACATTGAAAATTAAAAGTAATCATATTTTTATCTTCTTACCGAATAAAAGACAATCATACTTGGGTCCGGAAGTTTTCTGAAAGTTCTCCTCGTACGCCATTTTTTTAATTGCAAATTGACAAACACCTGAAAACAAATTAATAACAAAACTTAACCTCAATCTCATATTCCACAAAACTCGGAACAATGACACCAGATCGCAACAACATGCATCTAAGTAACTACCATTAAGTCATCACCGACAATATACACATCTCTAGAAATCAACTGAAAACATACACACTCACGAATCGAAATCATTAAGGGGAAGAAAAAACTGAAAACGCTATAAATGCAGTCATCCAGATCGAAACAGTAACTATAAAGAAAAGAAATGGTCCAAACCTAACCAATGAAGAAGAGATTTTTACCTTTCTGTTTTTCTGATCCAATGAAACTTCGAGAGAGGGAAAGAAAAAGGGGATGGTGAGTAAAAACGAAGGGAAGAAATATCTTTAATAATAAATAGAAGTTGAAATGTTTTGAGAGCCAAGCGTTTCAATGGGTGGGGGTTTTCATGACACATCCATTGGTTGTCGTTGAATCTGGAGAGACAAAAGCTTGCTTTCACTCACGTCCACATCCCACGATTTCTCCACGTGGCGTTTCACCTTTTTTTCTTTTCCTTATCGAGCGAATAGTTCGACGGCACGCGTAGGTTTTAAGAGCCGACCTTCAACACTTTTTCAAACTATAACGTGCGCCTTAATTTTATTTCTCCGTGAAACTCGGTTCCGGTTTACATTGATGTGCCACTCCGGTCTATATGGACCGGATACTATTAGCAGTATTCGCCGACATGAGCATTAGTTAATTTAGTTTATGAAAATTCAAAAATATTAACTTTACAGATATTGAATTACCTAACACTCGTGGTTGTTTGATCGGCATCGTATCAAAAATTACCTTTATCAAATTTAGTTTTAGAGCTTTTTCTCAATATGTGACAAAAAAAATATGAATGCAATGACATAAATAACTAAACTATTCCTGTTATCTTTCCTCCTCGCACTAATATATAACGCATATATTCTTAACAAATATTATTAGATATCTCAGAACATAAAAAATCTCAATCAAATTATGGGATATCTAGAAATGTTATGTTTTTTATTCAATTCAAAAAAAAAAATATTATGTTTCAGTCGAAAAAACTATATTTTGTATAAAGATTTTTTTTTTTTAAGATACCAAATCTGAACCTCTCCAATGAAGACTAAACAAAAACTGGTAAGGAGACGTTTTGCCCATCTGATCTTTTTTTATGCCCATCTGATCTGATTTCGAGAAACGTGTTTAGCTGCTTATTATTCGTTTACGTATGTATTTATAATACATAGAGTCGCAATTCCTTATAAAATATGAATAAGCACGATCATTTTTAAATTTTGTCAATCAGATCACGCGATGGGGTAAATCTTCCACGCGAATTGGAAGATGAAATCCTCTCAAGAGTACCAGAAAAATCACTTGCAAGATTCAGATCTGTATGCAAGCAATGGAACACGCAGCTTGTAGATGAGACCTTTCTCGAGCAGCACTCGTCTCGTATGGACTACAGCTATGATGATTATGGTGATCAACCTCGGATTCTAATAAATAATGCTCGTGGTAGGTTATCCTCCTTGGACATGGTTTATCCGTCTTCAGCATCAATCAACGACATAAGCCTCATAAACAGAAAATATACTCACGAGATGCGCAAGAGGATCAAAGTGTACAAGATTGTTCACTGCACTGGTCTATTATTGTGTGTCATGGACAACCAGCTTTTGGTATGGAATCCAATGTTGAAAGAGACACGATGGGTCAAATGCGGCAGTGACTTCCATTGGTTTGATGATGCCTACGGTCTTGGATACGTCCGCCAATCACCACCAACCCATCACAACTACAAAATCGTTAGGTTTCGTTGTGCTAGTAACGACAGAGATCGACCTCCAAGGGTTGAAGTCTACGAATTCACATCCAATAGTTGGAAGGTTATACTTGATATTACTATTGATTGGCATCTTAAATTACCATTGTCTAATGTGTCTCTTGGAGGAAATCCATACTGGATTGGTCTTCGACAAGATGAAGCTTTCATACAAAGCTTTGATTTTTCTAAAGAAAGATTTCAACCCTTGGATCAACTTCCTTTTGAGTATAATGAGTATAATCCTATTGCACTGGAGACCTTTCGGGGAAACCAGCTTTCTCTGTTAGAGCAATGTCATCTAACAAGGAAGATATCGATATGGGTGAGACATTTGATAACACCTTGGACCATACTAATGGTCGTGACTATACCACATTTTCCTATGTTACATCAACCACCTCCTCCACAAGTAAAGACACGTGCCTGGTTGTATCGTAGTCGCTTCTCTATAAGTTATTTTGTCCATAGAAACGACGAGACACTCGTCATATCTGTATTTGACGAGGGTCCTAGATCTGTTAGCATTTACAGAGTCAGAGACAAGGAGTTCCAAAGAGTTTTTGTAGACACAGCCGGAAATACGTGCAGCTACGTACCCAGTTTAGCTCATCCTCATGGATCCTCCAAGCAAGACACAACCCGGATACGATATAGGAAAAATAGATTCAACTAGGTGGTGTTCTGCTCTTCTTGTGCGTTAGACACAAGTTCGTTCCGTTTGTTTACTTGTGCGGTAGAGGAACATGTTTTGTTGTGTCTAGTTATCTGGTATCTGTCAGTCAAAGATGTCTGGCACAAGTTCATTCCCCTTGTTTACTAGTGCGTTAGAGGAACATATGTTGGATAGGCCGTCTCCAAAAGTTTATATTAATGGTAAATAATAAACTAAAGATAGCAAACTTGAAGTGAAAAGATACTTTTTATAGAGTTGGTGTCCAAAACAAACAAAACAAGATGAGATTCACAGAACAATAAAAAACACTGAAGACTACAGATCTTGAAGAAAACGAGAAACAAAAAGTACTACAAGGAGATGAAAATTACAATGTGTTTTAAAGATATTTTTTTCTCAAAGAAGAAATTTTACAAAATTACCGATTCAAACAACAGTAAGAACAATATGTCGAGTGTTTTAGTTGGAAAAATACTTTGTCAGGACATCGTTTCTTACAGTAACAGTTACTGCAAAATGGCCTAGACATGGTATTGTTGCGAAGAATATGATACTTCTTCCTCCTATGATCTAATATGGTTTGACCCAGCTTCATATATGGATCTTTCCCAAGCAAACAATGAACATGAAGAGTGGTGCAGCAGTATTCATCGCACGCATAGTACCCACCTTTTCCTGAATATACTATTTTCTTTTCACATGCCTCACACCAGTCTGAATGATCAGTTGCCACCAACTCTTTTCGAAATGTGAGGAAATGTTTGTCATGCTTATACTTTGCCTTGTATGGTAAAGTAGCACACTTAAAACATATAACATAATCATCACATTCGATGCAATTTAGCTTTCTCAGACGGACTCCCCAATCATGGCAGATATTACACAACGCCCCATTTTCTTCGTCTGGGCTTAAAGCCAGGAATAAAGGATGCTCATGGCCTTCATATTTAAACGGTTCAGAAATTGAGGCACACCGTACGTCTAGCCTGAAACTATCTCCATCCGTACTGGACTCCTCGTATACGAATCCATTACTTCTGCGCTCACAAGCATCACAATAGAAGAAACCATTGTAGACATCATATTCATTAGTGACAACCTTAAGCGTAAGTGGGCGAGCATGCAAAGGATGTCGTATCTTGCGAGGTGCATTGGCACATGTTTCATGTAGGATAAAGTCACAGTGACCATCCACACATGAATAGTAATTCCCTTCGTAAATAGGAAGGACGCACGCTTGACAAAACTTGTCTTCGTCATAATCTCTGCAGATCTCGAGCTTTAGGTGATGTCCATGAGTAAAGTGAATTATTTCTCCATCAGCTATCGTCTTGAATGGATCTTCTACTATCTCAACTTCTTCTGGTGTTCCTTCGAGTTCTTCCCCATCCCACAAATCTCTCCGCAAAGCGCATCTCGTATGAACAAAATAACTTCCATCACAATTTTTGCAAGAGTAGGCACCGCTACTGTTGTCAACCTTTCGACGACAGACTCCACAAGAAAAATTTCCTGATGGAAGAGAGTAGGTGAAAGAGATACGGTGGTGGTGACGACATATTCTTATGACGTATGGGAAATAGATACAGTCTTGATGGACAACGAAAACACATCTAGCGCAGATATAAGTGGGAATAAGCTCTTTGATCAAACCACAAATATCACAGGCTAAGGAAGCTTGTTTAGGGAAAAGGGTGAGAGGGTGGGGATGCCTTTTAAAGTGGTCTACAGTAATGGGTATTGGCTTCAACGCACAAAACACATGACTTTCAACTTTGTAGGTAGGACAATGGTAACAAACCATTTGATTCTGTATTTGGGTTTCACAAAAGATGCATGTCGTAAAACTGAAAGGAGGACCAGGATGAAGTTGGAGAGAAAGAGAGGGAAAGGAAGGGTGTTTTTTGATAAAGATTGGAGCCTCCACACATTCTTTGTGGAAAACTCTTTTACATGTTTCGCACAAGTAATAATAGCCACTGCCAACCTCTGGCTCGTAGCATGCGCCGCATTTTAACTGAGAATCGACAACAACATTAGGTTTTTCATTGTTGCACCAAAAGATTGGAAGTACAGGATGCTTACAGATATTCTTATCATCAAGGGTGAATTGAACTATTTGATCAACGGTTTCTTTGTCGAAGCGTGGGGAAGTGTTGACCCGGACAATATCGCCTTCGCTAGAACACGCATTTTTTCTAAAAATGCAGTCAGCTACGTAACGAAAAATAGGACAGAAGAAACGAGTTTGAAGAGAGAGATCGTTGTCGCCAGACTCACCACCCGAATCAATGGCTTCCTCGCCGAACAAGGAGGGGGAGGAAGATGAAGAAGAGTTGTCTGTTTGAGGTAATAAACTGAATATGTGAAATGGTTTTCCATTGATTTCCTTCTCAAGAAATACACCGACAGAACTCATGATAGGCTATTACAAAAGAAAGGCGATCTCTTTGGGTGGTGTGTTTTTTGTGTATTTTCTTCCCCTTATTCACGGTTCAATATAGTATTGGAACTTGAAAATCCCAGCTAATAAGCTTGATGGATATTTCTGTAATTTTCAACTTTTCTATTAATTATCTTTCACTCTAACAGATAAGATGGAGAGAGAAAACAAGTACTCCATCATTTTCAGTTATATATCTTAAAAAAATAATTTGTTACAAAATTAATGTCATTTTATAATTTCAATAAAAAAAATTTTTGTTTTCTATTTTTATTGGTTAAAATATAATTAGCTGTATAGATAATAGTGTTTTTATTTCGAAAATCAATGTGTAAAAACCTAAAACACGACTAAGATGAAACGGAAAGAGTGTTAAAATTCTTATGAAGAAATTCAAGGATATATCTACTAAGTGAACCAATCAAAACATTTCATATCCCTAATATTTATACGTCTAAACGGAAATTCTTTATAAATCAGTAACTAAAATATAAGATAAATATTATATATTTTTGATACGAACTAGTTTAAATTTAGATGTATTATTTTTTAAAATAAAATTTGA